GGTGGATTTTCCAGCCACATGAGAGCCCATGATAGACGCCAGTAGTCACGAAACGGTCGCCGTAGCCGAAACCGGCATGGAAGGATTATAGGTATGATTTTAACCTCTTTTCTGTCGATATATGAGACACAATAGAAAACACACTATGTCTCGCGCACGTCAGCGTTCCGACACTTCACAGGTTGAATGCGTGATAAAAATGTTCGAGCTAACATCATTACAATATTTTTTCACATTCTATCAAAAAACAAAACCTGCTGTTGCAGGATACCTAAAAATATTAATGAGTTTTTTTAATTAAAAGACAGTAATTCCGTCTGTTGGCACTAGGCTACTACATGATACTCATAATATGATTGGTAAAAATAGGTGTTACTTTATAATAACGATTGTTATTTCCTTGTGCGGTCTCCTAAGGAGTGGAATTCTTTGCCAGAGCCTGTGTTTCCTGATGGGTATAACCTAGGTGTCTTTAAAGCCCGAGTGAATAGGTTGCTTATGTGACGACGCGCTCCATCATAGGCCACATCATCGCTTACCATCAGGCGAGATAGTAGCCAAACGTCGGCCCATCAAATATATATATTTATTGTAATAAGTGTTAAACTTTTACACCTACTATTGTGTCTCTTTGCATCACCCTAAGTTTGACTGTTAGAGAATGCCACTAGGCATTAAGTCCGCCATTGTATATCTACAAAAAGTGTAAATAAATACAATAAAATATATGTAATAATAATAATTAATGGGTACGACCACGTTCTTTAACTCAAAATGGATAACTAAACTTACATAGGTCCAAGAATAAAACCTCATTAAGTTTATAACTAGGCATTTGCCTCTCATCTTGCTGACGTCTTTATGCCAAATTTAACTCAGACTTCATCGAGTATTAATCAGAAAGTAATTAAAGCCCTTAATGAGCCCTATCAACTTGACCTGCCAATAGATAGAATAAAGACAAGCGAGGTTATGGACACAATTAAAAATCTACCTCAAAATAAAGCCCCTGGATATGACTTGATCACTACCAAAATCCTGCGGGAATTACCAAAAGTGGCAGTCCAATTTTTGAGGAACCTGTTCAATTGCATTCTGATCAGGGGAATCTTTCCATCCCAATGGAAGGTTGCACAAATTAAAATGATCCCTAAACTTGGTAAATCTCCTGCGGACGTGTCGTCCTACAGACCGATAAGTCTACTGCCCATCCTTTCAAAGGTTATGGAGGTACTCTTTTTGAAACGCTTGAACAAAGTAATAGCAGAAAATAAAATCATACCCGACCACCAATTTGGTTTCCGAAAACGTCACAGCACGATCGAGCAGGTACATAGACTGGTAGAAGAAATACACAGAGCCTTTGAAAATAAGAAATACTGTTGTGCAGCCTTCTTGGACATCTCCCAAGCCTTTGACAGAGTCTGGCATGAAGGTCTCTTATATAAAATAAAAAAACTACTGCCTACAAACTTTTATGTCTTCTTAAAGTCATACCTTGCTGAAAGATACTTTTATGTTAAACAAGGAGAGGACACATCCAAACTTTATAGGGCGCACGCAGGAGTGCCACAGGGGAGCGTACTTGGTCCGATACTGTACCTAATCTTTACTTCAGACCTGCCTATGACAAATGGAGTTGTGATTGGCACTTTTGCTGACGACACTGCAGCCTTAACTACCCATGACGAACCAAAACAAGCAAGTAACATGCTACAACTCTCCCTGGACAACATCACGGAATGGCTCAATACTTGGCGTATAAAGGCGAATGAGACAAAGTCAGTACAGGTGACATTTACGATGCGACGTGGAACATGTCCCCCAGTAACGCTGAATAGGCAACAAATACCTCAAGCAAATGAAACCAAATACCTTGGACTGTATTTGGATCGTAGCCTCACCTGGAAAAAGCATATTTTTACTAAAAGAAAAGCACTGGGAATCCAACTGAGGAAAATGTATTGGATGCTCAGCGGAAAATCGCAGCTATCACTCGAAAACAAACTACTGTTATACAAGAGTATCCTAAAACCGATCTGGACCTACGGAATCCAACTCTGGGGCACTGCCTCAAATTCTAATATAGAAATACTCCAGAGGTTCCAGTCCAAAATGCTGAGGATAATTACTAATGCTCCTTGGTTTATAACTAACCAACAATTACACCATGACCTTAAAATCAGAACGGTTCAAGAAGAGATAAAACAGTCTATGATATCCTACAGAAAAAGGCTCAACAACCACCCAAACACTCTAGCAATGCACTTAATGAATATGAACTCCACATTCAAAAGGCTAAAACGAAAGGCCCCTAGAGACCTGTAAGGGATGAATTCTAAAGGGCCCACGTCGCTGGACTGGTGACCCTACAAGACAAATTAAATTAAACTCTTGACCATGTGCTGAATGTTCGTTAGAGACAGATTGCAGGACAATAAAATCAAAAAAAAAAAAAAAAAAAAAAAAGTTTATAACTTGTACCACACAACACAAGTATAACCTACAGGCGAGCGGATGTTGTTCTGTTCAGTGGTTGCGTGCGCAACGTGAGGCCACGAAACCAGCGGTTTTTGCTAACTTAAATTTTAATGAAAATGATTGATTTATTGATCGTAATTGCTAAGAGGTGGAAGTTAATATTTAAATAAACGTATTAACTGTTGTTGTCTTTTAAATAAAATAAAATGAAACGTTAATCTTTCTGAATGCGAAGAGATTTTTGTCCAGTCAGGGAGGTAGCTCCGGCCTACAGGGTGGGTGAATGATAAAATTATAAGAATCGTAAATGTAAGTCATTACTCTTAACATATCCACGGTACCATACTTTATGTGGTACTAGCTACTTCCGCGCGATTTCACCACGCTCTGCTCAGCTCCTATTGGTCGTAGCGTGATGTTGTATAGCCTATAGCCATCCTCGATAAATGCGCTATCCAACACAAAAAGAATTATTCAAATCAGACTTGAAGTTACGGGAGATTAGCGCGTTCAAACAAACAAACAAAAAACTTCCGCTTAATATAATAGTATAAGATGTAGTACCTATATTAAGAATTTTATACTGTTGACATATGTAAAGAAGATATTACATAATTAAAATGAAATATAATAACCAAAAAAATATAATAAAGTACATAGTTGCACAGTATCTCGGTGTTGGAGAGCCGAATGCACTGGATCGATGCAGCGACTGCGCAGTGCGCGGGTCGATGCACCCGCCACTGTGACGTAACCACGCACAACCACTAACCAGCCGCTATGGTAGAAGTACCACTTGAAATAAAACGTGTCAGAAATTGATGACTTATTTTTAAGTCGTTTTGTGTATGTTATATTCATCCATATTGTCAATAACATCATTTAATTAACCATCACTTAAAATATCTAGATACAAATGAACTCACACTTTTGTCGAAATCCTCCCTATAGACAAAAACTACAGAAGTAGTGAGACCTTCAAAGTTGTACATATTTAATGAATTACAATTCTTCATAATGAGAAGACTGCCTCGTTGGCCGAGTGGTCGTAAGTGCGACTGCCGGGCAAGGGACGGCAGTCGACGACCCGAGACGGGTTCGATTCCCGGGTCGGGCAAAGCATTACTGGGTTTTTAAAAAAATCTCAGTAGTAGCACGGAGTCTGGAATTGTGCCCGGTATATGGCAATAGGCTCACCCCCTATTACATGGGACTCATAACATAAATAGTGAAAAGTGGGTGTTACATTGTACAGTGGTATAATGTGCACCTCTGCCTACCCCTTCGGGTATAAAAGGCGTGATGTTATGTTATGTTATGTCATAATGAGAAGAAATACAATGCAATTCTTCAAGACGCTGTTGAAGAATAATTAAATATGTAGTACTTAAATTAAACTAAATTCCCTTGTTTATTCAAATTCTGGTTACTGAACAGCAAGGCTTCACTTAGTTATATGGCTATTCTAGATATAATTGTTCTTTTTTGCATTCATTTTTCTGATTACTCTCTCATTACTCTACTCTAGATTTGACACTTTTTTTGTTAATCGACACGTTATAAAACTTTCATTTTAAACAAATTAGTGGTACTTCTGTAGTACCCTGTGAAATGTCCCTATCCAAATGTTTTGCTAGGTTCGGATCGAGGAATGCTCCGATTTACAGCCGCTCTGATGAACTTATGGAACTATTTGATGGAGTTATTTTAATATCCATTGCGGTTATCATAAAACAGTGCTGTCTGCAATATTCCGTTTCTACTCTCGACGTTATATTTCGCAGAATCGTCGAGTTCCGTCCGATAGAATAATTCATTATACTTAGAGTTGAATTTCGTAGATTTGCTGTCTCAGTCTCAGCAGTTATTTCATAGAATTTAGTTCGTTCTATTCATGGCTCTTATGGCATTTTTTATTTGTTTCTCTGTTTTCAAACGGTTATACTTATATTAGGTTTCTGATTTAATTACTGATAAAGCAAAAACAGCAATTACATATATTTATTTCCCTCTTGAATTTTTAGTATATCTTTCTTCACGCATGTCCCTAGATGTCAAGACCCATTTTTTGCCAAGCATGACATTTCTTCGAATCCCAATGTAATTATAAAATAAATAAAAAATGTTTATTATTACCACTGAGATCACATTTTTTACATTTCCAGGATTATGGCTGTGGCCAGAGCAAAAGGACTTCTGAACTAGGAAAAAACCTGTATCTTAGAAGTCGGTGTACGTACGAAATTAAACTATACGAATGAGCCGTTGCGATTACAATTACCTGGATAGGACCATGATAACGGACAGGAACAAAAAAGTTACAGAACAAAGTAAGCTAATCCAGGGCGAAAGGTTATTGTTAGGAGAAGCATAATAAAGAGAGATAAAAAAATTACAGCCAAGATACCTAATTAATTCTACCTATTTTAAATCATCACCCTAACAATTTTCTCCGTGCACCTTCCCTAACATTATCTACATTTTATTCTTTTTTCATTCTCATTCATTCTCCCACTCACCTCCTGTTGTCGAGGTAGCTGTCGTACTCGTCCGGCGTGTTCTTCTCGTCATGCATGTCGTACAAGTCACTGTATATCGCTGACTCTAGTCGAGATGGGTCCAAGTGATAGTTCGGATTCTCATACGAGAGAAGACCATTCTCTGTGAACAAGGAAAAATAAATTAAGTTAGGATATTATAGAAAGTTTCTCGGTAAGTCAACTAGTCAAATTCAATACTTTTTTTGAACTGTTAAATAAGACAGTCTCCTACGAATTTTGTACACGAATGTGTATTGTGACGTCACGTTTTTTAGTGACAAACAGCGTATTTGTTTCTTAAAAAATATTGCTGGAAAATTTGCCAAAATTAAGTTGGTCATAAAATCATTCCAAACAATTTTTTATACTTTATTGTATTGAACAGTCGAAATAATTTAGTTTTGATTAAGGAAAGTACCCAATTGAGGTTGAGAGACGTTTTATATTAAGACAGAAATAAAATGATACAAAATGGTAGAATGTACAAGAATATCTTATTAGTGTTTTAATATAACCTTATTATAAATACCTGCATTCTGAGTAAATAAATAATTATTCTATTCTATTCTATTCTACAGTTCTGATGAATCTGTTAAGTGCGATTTTTCTTCCGATTACAGAGTAACTTTCTTCTCATTACAATTAGTAGCTAACTCTGTACATAAAAATGTAATTTAGTACGTAAAACCTATAAACATAATTTCTGAAGAAGTCAAGTAAATATATCTTCTTATTTTTGGGATCCAATCTATTAATATTAGATTTTTCTTGAAAAATCGATCCATCACACTGAATTATACATTTACAATATTCTCAAAAAAATGCAATCTACTAAAAACTTTTTAGAATTTACATTAAATGTATTATCCTTGGATCGTATATTTAAAAAAAACGTTATCCCCGATCAAGAGATATAGAAAACATTACAATACGTTGACTGTCTGGCAGTCGTCTACAATCTAGATTATTTTAGCTTTTATTTTCTTGATAACTAAGTCTAGATTTGAATAGACATGAGCTGTCTTCAGCTTGAAAATAAAAGAAAGGATTATCTAATTCAGTTTGAAGATAGCTGTCTGTGGAATAGTTTTTGTTTGTATTTATTTTAAAGGAGTTTATGTATGTATGGAGTATCGTTGTGATAATTAGGCAAAGACAAATTTATTTAGAGTAAATATTCCATGACGAATTTTATGTTAAAGCTAGAATACACATAGTCACTTAGACATATCAGAATATGTCTACTACAGAAAATAATACATACATAACATAACGCGTGTTATAACCGAATGGTCAGGCAGAGGTGCGTATTACATCACTTAATGCCACTGTACAATGTAACAACCACTTTTAACTATTTATGTTAGAGTCCCATGTAATAGGGGGTGAGCCTATTGCCATATACCGGGCGCAATTCCAGGCCCCGTGCTACTACTAAGATTTTTTTAAATCTCAGTAATACTTTGTCCACCCCGTGAATCGAACCCTAGACAATAATCTTCCCTTAAAGAGGGTTTTGCCATCCATTGTAATCTAAGATCATAATCATATCTAATACGAAACCAACAACAACCGTCAACAGTACAACAAATAATTAATCTCAAAATACATAGATACAACTACAATTAAAAGTTATTAATTAAAAACCAGTGTGTCAACTTGAAACAATGTTATTCAAGTCGGGGCAAGCACTTGGTAGGCCTCATCGTAACCAGAGCTGAAGCCTTAACAATGGTTACCCCCTCTCCTAACAAACATGGCGGCCTTTACACGATGTAATTGCTGTCATTGTGTCTATTATGAATGTAATTGTATTACAAATCGATGGGTCTGTAATGTGGATCGATAGGTTAGGGATAAATGACTAGTATTTATTGCTGTCTGATAATTTATTCTTTAAAATGTGCAGTCGCGAATAGGATTATAATCATTTCAAAATCCTGTAACCGACTACTGTCATACTATAATGGACTATCATTAGACTATGGGTTTCGTATAAACAATACAATCTTACTTTGCATGCGAATTGCTCACTATAGTTTAAAAGGTTCAAGTTTATTAGAGAAAAATGCTGTCCAGTCTCTGTTAAATGAATAAGTAGTTCCATAACTATAGTGTGGGAGAGCCATGCTTCGGCACGAATGGGCCGGCTCGACAGGACTGATACTACGGCCTCACAAAAAACCAACGCTTGCGTTGTGTTTCGTCGTATGAGTGAGGTTATCGGAGGCCTAATTACTCCCCAATCCCTGAATACCCAAAAATCCTAATTCTTAATCCACAAATGGCCGGTAATGAACTTGTAACACCGCTGGTGTTCCAAGTGTCCATGGTCGACGCCGATTGCTTACCATCAGGTGATCCGTCAGCTCGTTTATCCGCTTATTCTATAGAAATGTAGCTTTTAAAACCTACGGGAAGAGCAGCAGTGGCGAAAATATAATCCTCTTCAACCCTGATACAACACACGTCTGAATAGAGATTATAAATTATACATGTGACTAACAAAACAATAACGTCGTGTAAGTGAATCTAAGTAGTTGAGCGCCTGACCCATTAACTTAGTTGAATCTCGAAGACGATTAGTAAACTTCACTTAACTATGGAGAATATGCCTTTAGGGGATTACACTGGAGTTTAATGATGTCGACGTTTATATCGCTTTAAAGTTAAATGCCTTATTGTTAGATTGTGGTTAGTGAAAGAGAAGGAGTCTGAAAAGGAGTTTGAATAGAATAGGGTAGATCACTTTGTATCAATTTTTATTTTATTACTGAAACGAATAGTTTCGAAGATATATTGATTTGAAATATCGTATGACGTCACTTTTGAGTACGATTTATACTCTAGAATGACGTAGCTACCTTCCACTCCTAAACTTGGATTCTTTCAATCACGGGTTACTCACGTGAACATACTGAGAAAAGCTCTACTAGTTTCGAGCCACAGAGGGGTTCTTCCTTATGAGCAGCGTGCGCGGTCACGGCTATGTCGCGCAGCCTACTCGTGCCTAGCCATTTTTTTTTTTGAGGGGGAATATCATTAAATGACTTCTCTCGCCTGGGTGAGGCGAGAGGGAGTGTCAGACTCTTATTGACTAAAAACCACCCCGTTCCTATTCGTGCACTTCGAGCCAGAGCACAGGTAGCCCGTTAGCCGTGGAGTTAGTTAGAGGTAGTCTTAGTATGGCTCACGATAGTTATTATAAAAACATTATTTCCTGATCTTTACAATAACGCCCAGAGTGACACCACATGCTTTACGTAAACTAATCGAATAAATTAACTTATTGGGATTCTTTTCTACTTTTGACTAGACGTTATAGTCAGATGTTCGTATGACAACTAAGATTGAAACGTATTACGTGGTCTCTGAGATAGGAATCCGTGTAACAGCTTAAACTGAGGAAAACTTGCAGTGCATACCTGAACTACAGCATCACCCCTTCCCCCGACATAATATTGTATCATGTTATGGTAAATAAAACCATAAGTGTTTACTACTATAGTCATAAATGCTATACCACGGTTTAAAGTGTCATGAACTTCTATAGACGTGTACTAACCGTAAAATTACATTCAGATAAGCAAGTAATGTTGCTATTTGAAGTTCTGCAGCTTTCCTATAAACATTACATTCGTTTTTATACAACTATGGTGACGTAAAAGGGAGTTACATAACATCACGCCTTTTATCCCCGAAGGGATAGGCAGAGGTGCACATTATACCACTGTACAATGTAACACTATTTCTGTTATGAGTCCCATGTAATAGGAGGTGAGCCTATTGCCATATACCGGGCACAATTCCAGACTCCGTGCTACTACTGAGAATATTTAAAACCCAGTAATACTTTGCCCGACCCGGGAATCGAACCCGAGACCCCTTGCCCGTAAAAGGGAGTTATGAAATGATATACGCCCGAATACTGAAAGACTACCTATTCAATTTAAAGTCGTACTTAAATATCGTGTCATTACTATCATAAGAATTTGTAGTGACAGAATATGCGAACTTATAAAGCGCGACATAAAATTGAGTTTCATTTGAGTATTTGGATATTTTGTGGTTTTTAAACAGTGAGTATGTCAAGGTATGATGTAGACCATAATATATTCTATTCTCGAGTTGAACTTAAAATTATCACTAAAACATGGGACCCATTATTTAGGAGTTTTTTTTAAGAGGGGAAAATCATCGAATGTCTGCTCCCGCCTGGGTGAGGCGGTAGGGAGTGTCAGACTCTTACTGACTAAAAACCACCCCGTTCCTTCTCCTGCACTTCAAGCCGGAGCCCCGGTTACCCGTTAGGTTGTCCGCGGCTCCGCATCGGCATCAACTCTATTGGGTGCCATCCGTGGTGGTCTGATGGCTCTTTGAGGCGCGCGCGGAACACGATGCGCCGTACGCTCGGATATTATTTAGGAATAGAGCAATAGTCAGTAGCCAAATTCCATCTCGATGATTTCGATAAATGTCTACAACCAATTCTTTGACTGACATCGGAATCAATACACAAACAATTTACAGTAATAATGCACAAACGAGCCGAATTATGTTTTTAGCACCTAAAGCTGTAATAGAGACGACACTATAACCAAGCATTAATGCAAATTGCCGCTAAATTACAAATGCAACTCCAACCCAAGAGAGAGGGAGACAGACTATAAAACGACAATCAAGCCACCGACAAATTGCAATCCCACTAACTCCCCATAAAATCCCTACAATTCCATTAAATTCCCGACCAATCGCATTAACACGCAACGATTGTCGAAATCCCCACCCCCGGATAATCCTCGAAACATCCCGTTATGGGGGATATGACAAGCCGTTATGGGGGGATGACAATCCGGGACTTCCAAAACTGTTCAGTATAACCCTTGCGACGTGTAGTACACTGAACATTATGGTGTAATAGTTAGTCGCGTGTATCAGGTCATTGGTGGGTAGTGCAAGTTGTTAGCGGAAGCGATTTCAGAAATACTAGGCTAAAATGACACTAAAATTCGACTGCTTATTTTGTGTGGTTCAGTATAACATCTCTTGTCTTGAATTAAAAACTACAAAGTTCTGTACTAAAAGTAAAATCCTGAACCGAGGGTTGAATCTCGGTCACTTCCTTAGA